TCATTTTCATTTGTTTTAAAGTATCTTTTGACTTCTTCCTTAATTTCATTGTTAACCCATTCATTGTTTACTAACATGTGATTTAACCTCTTTGTGTGATTTTCAGTTTTTTCCCTTGTGATTGATTCCTAGCTTTATACCATTATGGTTAGAGAAGATGCTTGATATGATTTCAGTTTTCATAAATTTACTGAGACTTGTTTTGAATCCTAACATGTGGTCTATCCTAGGAAATATTCCATGTGCATTTGCAAAGAATGTATATTCTGCTGCTGTTGTGTGAAATGATTTGAAGATATCAATTAAATCCATCTGATCTAGTGTGTTATTTAAGGGCCACTGTTTCCCTGTTGATTTTCTGTCTGGAAGATCTATTCATTGATTTCAATGGGGTGTTAAAACACCCTACTGCAACTGTATTACTGCTGATTTCTACCTTTATGTCCATCAAGATTTGCTTTATATATTTAGGTGCTCCTATGTGGGATACATAAATGTTTACAAGCGTTATATCTTCTTGTTGGATTGTTCCCTTATCATTATGTCGTGTCCTTCTTTGTCTCTTACTGTAGTCTTTATTTTAAAGTCCATTTTGTTAGATATAGGTATTGCTATCCTAGCTTTTTAAAAATTTCAATTTGCATGAAATATCTTTTCCATCCCTTTACTTTTAGTCTGTGTGCATCTTTCATTCTGAGGAGGGTCTGTCGTAGACAGCACATATATGGGTCTTGTTCTCTTATCCATTCAGCCACCTGTGTGTTTTGACTGGAGCACTTGTAAGTTATTTACATTTAAAGTGATTATTGATAGGTATGTATTTATTACCATTTTATTCTTTTAACTATGTTCTTCTGTTGTTTTTTGTTTGTTGGTCTGGGAAGCTTGCTCTTTCTCCTTTAATTTTAAATAGTAGCCTTGCTGGCTGAAACAGTCTTGGTTGTAGTTCCTTGCTTTTCATCACTTTGAATATTTCATACCAATCCCTTCTCAGGCCTTACCTTTTTATGGTCTCCTGCACTCAAGGGTGAGGGGTTGATAGCATTTCAGAACTCCCCTTTCACTTTTATTGCTGTGAATGTGACCACTTCCATCCCCCCCACCCCAGTGTATTTTGGATTTTAAAAAATTGTAGCAATGGGCAAAGAAGCCTAAAGGCTGGTGTCCACAGCCTCAGGATGTGTCACGGGGGGTAGCTGGGGCCCTTGGCCCTCCCCACCAACCCTGCTTTCCTCCTTTTCATTTCATGACCCAGTTTTTCTCCCCCACATCCGCTGCTCACCCCACCTGGCTTCTTGGTGTGCTAGTAAGGTTCTATCCAGCTTGGGTTGGCTTTCAGGGACCTCCTGGGAGGATCTGGGGGCAGTCTCATTCTCACAAGGTGACCACAGCTAAGGGGCTAGGCCCTGGCCACCTAGCAGGGGCGCTGTCTGTGTCCTGCCTCTTGTTTGCTGTGTCTGAGGCTGACCTCTCACCTACATCCCCCCTGCTGCCCTGGAGATGCTGCTTCCTGTTGCCGGATAGACTAAGGATTTGAGAGAAGGACGGGCATCCTGGGTCAGGGACCATCGGGAGGGTGGTCCAGGGGCTTGCCCCCAGGGCAGGGGCACTCAGTGAGCAGCCAGTCACAAAGGGGCTGCTCGGGAATTTAGAGGGGCCTCCAGCCCTGTGCCCTTAGCTACCTCAAGCATCATCTGGCTAGCTTTTCTGGAGGCCTGGTTGTTTTTTGTTGGAATTAGGAGATTCTACTCCCATTCCCTTTATTTCCCTGGGATGGGGGAGCCCCCTCTTCAACCCAGAGATGTCAAGGGAGCCTGAGTGGGGTCACAGCACCCACTTTTCTCCTCTGCCTTCTCTGTAAGATTTTGTCTGTGAGTCTTCTGTGAGTGAGGCTGAATAGTGCAGGCATTGTTCTCTTCCCCTCTCCCCGGGTTTCCTGCGGAGCAGTCGTGTGCCTGTTTGCAGCACACTCCAGCCGCATCAGTTCCCGGCCTGTCTTCTTGGTTCACCTTCCCCAGCTGGGCTGGGTCAGGCCACTCTGGCCGCCCACTGTGGAGGCACCTGTTTACTAAGCAGGTACAGGTGAGGTGCAGAGCAGGCTGGGGCAAGAGGGGCACCCCGGAGGAGCTTTGACACTTCCTGGGTACGTATCTGTTTGTGTGTCTCCTGGCCTACAGTGGCCCAGGTGGGAGTATAGGGAGAGGAGTGCCTGGGTGTGACTTTGTTTGGGCATCTGCTTAATCTCTGGTTATTTATGTGGGCACTTTTACTGCCAGGAAATCTTCTGGGTTTCCTCTAGGGTGAAGGGCACTCTCAGGTTGCTCCACAGGCAGACAAGGGGCCACTCAGACACCTCCACCCCCACCCCCGTTGCTGGTTATCACTACCTGAAGGCAGGAGGGCCAGGTGGCTCCTTTGGCACCGATTTCTTTAAGAGGAGAAGGCTGGTAGCCCAAAGTAAGGCCCCTGCTTCTGTGTGTAGTGGCTCTTCTCTGACCTGTCTGCTCATGAGCCCCTTGTCTAGTAACAGGGGTGATCAGATCTCTAAACAATTCAGATGTTTATGCCCTATCCCCACTTACAGCAAATTAGGGAGACTGCCTTGTGTATGTTGCCTTGGAATTTTATCTTTTCTCTCTTGGGGAGTACAGTCATAGATTTAAGGGTCCCCTGTGATTCCTCTCTGGGTAGCCTCTGTGTAGGCATCCTGGTGCCTCAGAGACAGAGCCGGCTCGCTTCCTGCCGTCCTGTCAAGCTGTGGCTCCCTGCTCACAGCAGCAGACCCTGTAGCATCTAGTGCAGTAATGGGCTCTAGACCCTGCATGGCCACAGGCAGGTCTCACAAGCCAGTAATCCTGGACCCTGGGGCACCCTCTCCACCCATCCACTCGGTTGCACTTGTGCTGGTTTGCTCATATCTGCACACCAGCCTGGAAATGGCTGTCGTTCCACTTCACAGCCAGCTCCTGTTGCTGCTGGCAGAGCTGTCACCTGAAGCCAGTGCCGACCTGTGAGGCAGCCCTGCCTTTGCAGAAGCTGCCCTACCTGTGGGTGGGCAGCTCAGCCTTCAGTCCGCCAGCTAAGTCAGTGTGTGTGGCAGTTCGGAGGTGGATCCTCATGGGCTCCGATGGGGCCTCTTGGAGAAGTGAGATAAAGTAGTGGGCTGGGTGGGGTGGGGATCTGACTTGTTAGGTTTGGTTTCTGTGGCTTCAGGAGGTTACAGTGTGGCTCTAATCTCCTTGAATCCCCTCTATTGTCTGTTTGTTTCTGTGCATCCTAGTTCCTCTCTTCTCTCTCGATCTTTTCGGCCACTGTGATCTGATTCTACTGATTCATTAATTCAGTAAACAACTGCCCTACACCTGGACCCCAGTAAGGTGCTGGGGACCCAGGTGGCTAGAACACAGTTGTCTGTCCTTTCAGGCACCCCCCCCCCCCCCGTGGGAGCCTAGACACAAGCTCATGCTGCCCCTCCACCGCCCCAGAGTCAGGGAGCTCTGCTCCGAGTCACTGTGCCGGCTCTGCTGCCAGTGGGCTGCAGCATTACCTCCATCTGGAGCCTCTAATAATAGCAACTGTAATAACTTTCAGATATTATTTATTGATCACTTTCTATGCTTGCGTGAGCTCTAGAACGTTGTCTGGATTTTCTTCCCTAAAAATCCAGGCAGCCAATACATATGGTTAGATTGTGCTGATATTACAGACACAAAACTGAAAAAGAGCAAGATGCAGTCATTTCTCCAAGGTCATACAAGTAGGAAGTGGAGAAATCAATGTTGGACTCGGGCACCTCACCCTCAGTGAACGCACCCCTAGGAGGGCTTGTTGGTTACAGGTCAGCACATGGCGTGATTCACCCAAAGCGCATCTTTTTCTGACCTTGGGGCAGCCCTGGGAGGCCTTTGGATACCTCAGCTGTACAGCCCTGGCGCCAGAGGGCCGCATCCTGGAGGCACGCAGCTCTCTGAAAGGAGGCATTTCCTTGTCTCTCCCTGCGTTCCTGCAAATCTAATCAGAGGCCGCTCCTCTCGCTGCAGGATTAGTCAGCATCTCTTAACTAGCAGTCCCAGAGAGGAGAGCGTTCTTCAGCCCTGTCCCGGACCTGTCCCCCACCCTCCTGCCTTCAGCTGCCACAGCACTTTTCCTTTCCTATTTTGTTGTTTTGGTGCTGGGTGGACTTTGGAGAGGGTCATTAAGGGCCAGGATTATAGCACAGGTGTGGCCTTAGGGACAGTAAACATGGTGACTGTAGTAAGAAAGTGAGAAAGGTGCACCTCAGGTGAGAGCAGGTAGGTGGGGACTGTTAAATAACCGTCCAAGGGCTTCTGCAACTCAGTAGGTGTGGTAGTTGATGGTTGAAAACAGGAAGGGGAAGAGGTAGCACATGGATGGTGTGTTTGAGAAGTCCCCTGCACTTAGCATAAAGGGGGCCCTTCACTCCTTTCCAAACTGACCTTGGAGAACTCCAGGGCATGGCAGTGAGACCAGCAGCATGTCCTTCCCAGGTGGTCTAGCGTCAGCCTCCTATGTACTGGCTGCATCTGTTTCCATGGACAGAGCTGCCAACAAGGCCCTGGCCAACCTGAGGCCCCACTGCTAAGGCTGGGTCCTGAGGTCTACTATTCCAGGGTCTGGGTGACTCCAGAGTAGGAATCCCAGCCTCGGGCTCAGGGTTACTTTAAGGGACACATGAGGCCCCTGAGACTGTGAGTAAGACTTTGTGCATTTTCTGGGGAGCAGGAGCATAGCTTTCTATATTGGATTCACCAGAAGGCCTGTGATACCTGCAAGTGTTAAGAACCTCTGCACTATTGCTTCAGGAGGCTTGGGCCAGATGGACATCCAGGCCCGCCATGGGGTGGCTTGAGCCCTTAGGCGGCCCAGAGACAGCTCTGCCATTCCCAGTGGGGTGACTTCAGATGTGCACCTGGTCCTCTGATCTTCGGGAATCCCTGCCATGACCCTGTGATCAGGTTTTCCTCCCTTTGCACACACAGGGAATGTCACCAATGGAACAGTGGGGGGTACAGCAAAACCAGGACAGGAGGAGGAGGTGACCTTGGTGAATGGCTGGCTCAGCTGCAAGGCCCAGGATGAGATGCTAAACTTGGCCTTCACCGTGGGCTCCTTCCTGCTCAGTGCCATCACCCTGCCCCTGGGCATCGTCATGGACAAGTACGGCCCAAGGAAGCTCAGGTTGCTGGGCAGGTCAGTATGGGGTTTGGGAGGTGGGCTGGTGGAACCTGGGCTGAGTTCCCCACTGTAGGGAATCCTGGGGCCTGCTATCAGGTACATTGTGGAGCTCCCTAAATGCCCACCCAGCATGGGATTTCTGCCCCATCTGCCACTGAATCAGTGAGTACTGTGGTCCTTGTAACGCACCAATGTCGCATAAAAAAGGCACAGGGCCCAGGCCTGCCTGGGAGGGTCTGCAGTTGCTCATCATTAGGCTACAGGCTTCCACAGTCTTCTTGACCTTCTATTGATTTTATGTATATATGCCATTCTTAATTTTTTTTATGTGCTTTGTGATACATATACAAAAATATGAATGAAAATGGCTGAGATTAAAATTTGTAAAATAGAAATCCTAATATTGTCCCTACCACTGGCACCTGTGTAGATCACTGTGTGTGTCCTCCGAGGGGGTGTCCCTGGTCTGTGTACTTCCAGTGTGCTGGACTCAGGGTCAGCCAGCCAGCAACTGGCCTCTCAGGTCGTGGCCTCTCCAGGCTAGTCCCCCTGAGAAGGGTCATCTTGGAGGGCAATGGTTTGCAGTGAGTGAGACCTGTGACCAGGAAGGGAATGGGTGGTAGAACAGATCCATTCCATTTTTGGCGCTTAAGAGGCCCCGGTTCGCAGAGCAGGGCCAAGTGGAGGGGATCCGGGAGCTGCCACTCCTCTCGAGCATCTCTGGTGGGTTCCGTCACCCCCTGGCTGGATGAGCAAGGAACCTGGGGGATGGATTGTGCCCTCGCTCACTTCAGAGCCCGGGCAGCTCCAGTCGGGGCATGGGAGGGGCAGTGCAGTGTGGTGTCTGCCAGATGTGTCTGCCAAGCAGGAATTCCTGCTTAGGCACTTACTAGTTGGAGACTTAGGAGGAATCAGTTCTTTTTTATTCCCCCCCCATCAGTAAAATGGAGCCAATTATACTCCTTAGAATTGTTAAGCAAAATATTGTATATAATTTTTCCAGAACTACCTAAAATATAGTAAATACTCCCAAATACTAATAATATGAACAGTAGGACATAATGCATTATTTCTGCTCGTTTTTAGTGCCTGCTTTGCTGTCTCCTGCTTGCTGATTGCATATGGAGCCAGTCGCCCAGACTGTGAGTACACTTGTCCTCTGCCCTTTTGTCAGGGACTGGGGAGAGCGCCCAGAGGAACTCAGAGGCCCATCTGCTCGAGGACGCTCAGCCAGGCCTGGTGCTCACCGCTCCAGTGAGAGGCGGTGCTTGTTAGGCCTTTACCCACTTACGTACCTCAAGTGGGTGGCTGCGTGTGAGAACAGTCAGTCGCCCCAGACAGATGTCGGAGGCACGCTCCAGGGTGTGTGAAACTCCTGTGCCATCACCGATCCAGGCCAGGGTGAGATGGCCTCATTGATCCAACCTGAGAGACAAGTTCAAAGAGCCAGGCCAGCTGCAGGGGTGTGTGCAGAATCATCAGCTGTGTCCGCTTGAGGCAGCTCAGGCCAGCACTTTAAAGGTAGTCAAGAAGCTACCTGGCCACCAGCCCTGTCCAGATGGAGCTGTTGCTTCAAGGACTTTTAGAACAAACACCAAAATAGACCTTCAGTTTCACCATTGATTGATTTGGGGATACCCGTATTTTTTATTTCAATGAAGCAGCTTCTTTAGGCCTTGAGCTCGCTGCTCAGGTTAGTGGAGAACAGGATGGGGAGGCACCTTTTGTGAGAGCCCAAGCCCTGGCCTCCCTGAAGCGCAGCTGGTGGTTCCCTGCTTACGTGCCTTCCGTTCTCTCACAGCTCTCTCTGTGCTCATCTTCATCTCCCTGTCTCTGAACGGCTTTGGTGGGATGTGTATGACTTTCACCTCGTTAACCGTAAGTATCGATTTCTTTAAGGAGATCTCAGCTCAGTCATCTCCTTGTGAATCCAAGGGAGCTTTCATTGGCTTCAATTTCCTTGCCTTCTATTCCCCAGCACGTGCCTGGACATCCCAAGCACTAGAGGGCTGCTGGTGGTGGAATGGCCAGACAGCACAGCCAGCCACAGCCTCTGCAGCTGGGGAGGGAGGTCCTGCAGGCACAGCAGAGCTCAGCTCTCCAAGCGGGCCCTTCACCTGCTGACCTTGGCTTAGGTGCTGAGGAAGCCAGCTTACTAGCCATGTGTCCGGGAGAGATAGGAGCAGGGAAATAAAAGCTACTGCCCACTTGCTTTCCTCTTATTTTCTATGACAGCTCTGGCTAACAGTGCTGCCTACAGGCAGACCTCCCTCAGAGTCTCCCCCCAACCATTGCCTTTGTCCAGAACCAAATGGAAACCCAGGGAGCACACAGGCTGCCTCTCCTCTTGGTCTTGATATGCCAGGACACAGAAGGACCCTCAAGGGAAAGACATGTTTTCTTAGGATGCTGAGGACCCCCTTATGGGGAGCACCAGAATGTCACAGAATGTGCTCCTTTGGGAGGTGAGAGAGACTGCAGGAAGGGCCTCATTGAAAGAAAGAGAGCCAGGAAAGGCCTCCTTGGGAGGGAGAAGGAAGTTCTCTGCAAGGTGGGGTAGGTGGCCATTGGGAAAACAACGAGACTAATGGGCTCTTCAAAGAGAGTCCTGTCCAACAGGAAAGTCTGGCCTGCCTCAGTTTCCCCATGAAAAAGCTTTTATGACATAGTACCTACTATCACTATTTGCAGGGCACTTTGGTTTCTGATTTCTCTTTCCACTAAGGAATCAGGAGTCAGGCTGTTGAGGGGCGCTTATCTAGCTTTGTGAGACCCCTGGGACTGCTGGTCGTCTTGTAAAAGGCACTGACATTGCCGTGAATCCTGGCCTACCGGCTGTGAGCCAGGGCCAGGCGGGCCCAGCATGTCTCCTGTTCCCATGCTTTGCCTCGTTACCTTTGCCCTGGATGGAAGGATCGGCTGTCTGGGTCTGGGTCCTGGGAGAGGAGTGTTCAGTGGCGTCTGTGTTAGGTGACAAAGGCATGGCCCGGGCCACGTGTGCGGTGTGTTCGGGCAGCGGGTAACACCCCCAGATCTGGGGACTCTGGTTTCCTTGCTCCCGGGTGAGAACGATTGGGTTTGTACTCTTCTGTGCTTTTCTGTTTTGACTTTTTTAACCAGGTAGATTAAAGAAAAACAAATATATCCTCTCCCTAACTCAAATTCCCAGAGGTAAATAAATGTTGAAACTAGGAAATCTGTTAGAACTGCCAAAAATCCACACATCCCCCTAAGTTGTGTGAGCCGTGGAGCAGGAGCTGTGGTTCTGTTTGCTCTTTCACAGCCTGAAGATGACCGCCTCTTCCATCGAAGTGAAACCTAAAATCCTGGCTCCACCCCATTATTTCAGTCACTCTGTGCCTGTGTCATGGCAGTACTGAGTGGGGTAAGAGAAGGAGATGGTCCTTGAACTTGAGGAGTTTATGCTTCGAGATGCAGAAAGATGCTTTGTTGTGATAAAGCGTAAGACAAACAGATAGAAATCACCATACCAAGAATCCTCTCTAAGAAAACCTGTAAAAGTAATTTGTAGTTGATAAGAGACTGTTAGGGGAGACTGTTAAGCCCATAAGGATTTTTCTTTTTTAAGTTATGAAACAAAACTGGCAACCTTTTGTTTTGTGAAACAAAGCTCAACTCACTGAGCTAGGCTGGTCAAGGTGATATACCGTGATTTAAAAAAGTTTTTCTTTAGCCTGGGCTGGTGTGGCTCAGTGGATTGAGTGCAAGCCTGCAAACCAAAGGGTTGCCAGTTTGATTCTCAGTCAGGGCACATGTCTGGGTTTCAGGCCAGGTCCCCAGTAGGGGGCGCATGAGAAGCAACCACTGATATTTCTCTCCCTTTCTTCCACCCTTCCTCTCTCTCTAAATATAAAAATAAATAAAATATTTTTTAAAATGTTTTTCTTAGCCCTGGCTGGCGTAGCTCAGTGGATTGAGCGCGGGCTGGGAACCAAAGTGTCCCAGGTTCGATTCCCAGCCAGGGTACATTCCTGGGTTGCAGGCCATAACCCCCAGCAACCGCACATTGATCTCTTTCTCTCTCTCTCTTTCTCTCTTCCACTCCCTCCCTTCCCTCCCTAAAAATAAATAAATAAAATATTTAAAAAAAAATGTTTTTCTTTGTTAGTGAAACAGAGCATCTTGACATCTTTTCACCTCTTTTTGTGGCCATTTTATTCTGTGAACTGCTGCTGTGTGTCATTTGTTTTTCTACAAGATTATCTTCCATATACAAAGAAATTAGCCCTCTTTTTGAGTAAGCAAGGGATCTTACCCTAGGGTTTTTAGGCTTCCCTGGGTCTGTGAATAAGCCTTAGGAGGGCTGTGCGCTCCCTTGAGATTATAGGCAGACGGATTGAGTGTGTGCTCTGTGGGTTCATGTTTGTGGGGGAGGGTCCACTGCTCTCAACAACCACTGATAGGTCTGTGTGAGGGCTCAGGTCTGTGTGAGGGCTCGAGGCCCTGCCACCCGGAGGGTTCCTGTTAGCGCCTCATTCTCCCACCCAGAGATAAAAGGCTACATAGGCCAGACACTGACCAGCCAAGAAAACTGTCTGATCTGTACTTAAAGTGTTTGGTCAGGGATCTATTTAAGGGAGGCTGGTGGCTTATAACCTCTGAGGTCCCGTATTCTTGGGTCTAGAGCAGAGGTCAGCAAACTGCCACCCCCAGGCCAATCCAGACCACTACAGGGAGTTGGTGTTGTAAACAAACTTTTATTGGCATGTGGCTACTCCCACTTGTTTCTTTTGTGCAGAATGAAGCACTTGTAAAGACCATATGGCCTGCAAAAGCTGAAATATTTACTGTCTGGCTTTTTACAGAAGTTTGACTACCTTTGGTCTAGAGGCACCCAGAAGCTGCTCAGCCACTATGCCCCGTGGGAAGGCAGGGGCTGACCCTCCTTCTAGTCACACAGGCCACTTCCCTCAGCACTTTTCTCTAAGTACTTTTGAAGTCATCTCTTTTCCCCTTGACCACTGCCCCTGGTCTGAGGCTTCTCCATGGCCCCCTCCTGTCTCCTGAGGCCTCAGATGGGGGCTCCCAGGGCTGCTCCTCTCCAGGACAGACCCTGAGAGGGGATGAGAAGCAGGTCAGAGGGGACCCTGTGAGCGCTTGGGCAACGTTCTGGGGCTGGCCGCAGCGGCTGCTGAGCAGAGCTCAGTTCTGTCTGATGCGGCCCAGGCCTTTAAAAAGCAGAACTGCCCGGAGCAGCTCCCAGAGCAGCCAGGCTCGCAGCACGGTGGCACTTTCTGTTTGTGTCTCCTGCCTGTATTCTAACTTGGGGGCCAAGGAGTCTTCAGGGTCGCCTTTAGGAGCATCTAAATCAAATCTACAATTGCTTTGGGGCCGTGGATATTTGGTCCATGATAACCTGGGAATGGCTGCGGGGGGGGGGGGTTGTCATGGAAACCTTCATTTGGGGACTTTCTGAGTCCCAAGGGGTTTTGTGTTTAGTGGGCTGCGGCCTAAATGAAGACGTGCATATACTGTAAGCCATTAACCTCTGTTGGTAGATGGGGACCCCAAATGTGCAAAATGCCTTTTCCCTGCAGGCCAGGACAAGACAGCAGATGGAGGCCTCCCTTACAGACCCCTAGAGGCCTGCCGATGGGTGATTCTTCCTGGCAGCAGGGAGGCTCAGAGGGGCAAGGGGAATCCTATACCACGTGGGGCCCCTGATGGCCAGAACTGGCGCTCTCAGGTCCCTGCAACAGAGGATAATATCCTTAGAGCAGGGTGCCCGGTCCTTCCCCAGGTACAGAGCCCTCCCGGAGAAGGGGCTGAGCCTCAGCCTCCCCCTGGACACCTGGACAGCACACTTCGGTCTGTTTGCTCAGTGCCTCTCATTTGCACAGTGCTTTAACTCGCTCCATTGGCTGGAGTGTAAATACCAGCCGGCGGCTAAGGCGGCGTCTTCGGGGCACCACCCCACAATCCAGGCCTAGGTTGCTTAGAGATGGGAGCAGATGCAGCCAACATTGTGGACACATCTTTTCTGCTTCATTACTCTGACCCCTGTCAGTGTGGGCAGGACGGGGAGTTCTGAGCTGAAACCCGCACAGAAAAGTGATTACAAAAGGTTGCCAGGCTCCTTGATGAAAAATTTCTCTGTGGGCTTTTCCTATTTGATTCATTGAAGTCTGACTTTGAACCTGAGGAAGAAATGATCCTTTGGCAGTTGGGATCTGAATTTGAAGAGAACAGAATAAATACCCCTCTGTCAAAACCAGAGAGAACAGGAGGGAAGTATTCAGGTGCAGCAGTGAAGCAGATGTCCCTGGGGGTCGGGGGGCAGTGGAAGTTAGCATTCCTGCTCAGCGGACCTGTCTCTATAGCCAGGCGAGGGTCCCTACAGCCCCCAGTCAGCTCCCCGAGAGCCTAGGTGCCATGGGGGCAGGACTCTCCCAGAGCCGGGAACCTGTTCTGACTCTCAGTTTCTGTTCTGTGTCTTGTGAACCCAGAGCAGTCAGCTGATTACCGTTGGCCTGGGAAAAATTCACCCATCAGAGGGTTCCGCATCATGAACTTGCTTCAGCATGTGACAAGTTCAGGGGGCACTGGCAGGGCTTGACTGGCTGGGAAGGCAGATGAGGTGGCTAGGGGAGTGGAATCCTTCCTCCCACCCCTTTAGCAGTGAAGTGGAAAGGTGACCAGAAGGACCTGCTCCTGACATTTAAGTGCTTGGAGCTGCCAGGTTGTTTGGGGTTAGGAAATATCCTGGCTTTGCTGAGCCCGCTTGTCTAGACTGGTACCTGGATCCTGGCCTGTACAGGTTGTACAGAGCTCTGGGTGTGTACACCAGCCACCCGAGGACATGGCTCACCTCTTGAAGGGGCCCAAGGGCCAGAATGCCAGCCTCCACCCAAGCTGCA